TAGATAAATGTACATTTATATGTTTAAGTTAAATTATTGATAGTATTTTTTTATTTTAATAATGCTTGTTTAACTGGGCTTTTGATTAGGTAAACCCACTGCCTTCTGATAAAAGAGACTCTACTAGATTAAGTCCCTCTATGAATGTGAGTAATCTTTTCATTTTTCTTTTTTCTTTCCTAATTAAGGCTGCTAATTTAATACGGAAAGAATACTTGAAAAGGCACAAAAAAGGATTGCAGACAGATGCCAGACATGAACTCTGTCATGTAATATTTCTGCTTGAGAGTATGTCTGACTTTTTTTCTTTTTAGAATCACAATCTCATTTTGTCACCCAGGCTGGAGTGCAGTGGCATGATCATAGGTCACGGCAGCCTCGAAAGCCTGGCCTCAAGTGATCCTTCCACCTCGGCCTCCTACCGTGCTGGGATTACAGATGTGAGCCACCTTGACTGGCCTACGGTATGTGTGATTTCTAAATAGAGATTTCATTTGCAAACATAATTGGCAACAGATCAAATCATGTTCAGGGAGGACACCCAGGTCATGCAGGGAAGAAATCCAAAGGCCAGGAGGAACAAACCGTACACATCTCCTCTGATGCCAGCAGGTCTCAGGAGAAGCCGTTCTGGGGCAAGCCACTTGAGAGGTATGGTTTCTGTAGAGGAGATGGCCCCTCGGGCATGGACTTCATAAGCCAGGCCCAGTCCACAGAGCTTAGCAGTAAGATCACTTTGGATTAGGATGTTCCTGGCTGCCACATCCCCGTGAAATAGATGCTTATCTTGTAGAAATTCCTGTCAAAATAGTATCAAAGATGATCAGCTGTCTGAGGTCACCACTTGGGTTACAGACATGGAGAAGCAGTCCTAGGAATCCTCAAAAAGACAAGGACATTTTCTATTCTGAACAAGTCTCATTAATAATGACATACTGCCTCCAAAATATGCTAATGAATCAGACATTTTTTGCATTGTGTTTAGAATTACCAAACTGAGCGAGTAATCCAAATGATATTAACACTGGATTTTGAAAGTGTAATCACCCACTCTGCATCAAACCCTGACCTCTGCTCGATTTCACTTTCCTCTTGGGACCCAGCTAGACACTGGAAAAGGGAGGAGGTTCCAAATTTGTAACAGTAATCCCCAAAACAGGGTAATAAGCACATAGCAAAATTGAATGTCATAATAATGAATTTATATAAAGTTTTACATCACCTCATTTTGTCCCTAAAAGAACTGAGTGAGGTGAGTTATGGAAGTATCTTTTAGATAAATCTAAATGATTACACAAGGTCGCATAGTTATTAAATGGTGGTGACCAGAACCAGGTGTTCTAATTCATAGGATGTGCTATACAAACTCTAGTAATAATTCTCAAGCCAGGCTGCAAATCAAAATTGCCTGAGAGCTTTTTAACATTTTCACCCCAGATTTACTAAACCAAAACCTAGGAAGAAAGACCTGGTAACTTACATGTTTAAGAAATATCAAAGTGATTCTAGTGTAGCCAATAAAGCATTGGAGAGCCACCGCACCTGACGACATAGATTTGCTGGAGTCATTTCCTTCGGCATCAAGCTATTCAAGACTTAGGAAGAAGTCGAAAAGCTATACATGATCGAAGAGCTAGAGATGAAGGTCTGTGGTTACTAAACAAGGATGCTATAAAAATTTGTAAAGGTGATAATTTCCAGTCGTCGATGATGAAGGAAACAGTGACTAGCAGTTTTCTGTCTATGGTAAGCTTTTAGAACAAAGAAATTATAATGAAAAGAATTAAAGAATGTACTAATTTTGAGGTTGTTAAGAAGAGTATGATACTGCCTTGTAACAGGTAATGTAACAGGTAATGAATGCATCAATTTGATCAATTCATCACTATTGGGCACCTATGCAGTTATGGTTCAGAATACAAGGTAGGTTGTATCCTGACACTATAACTTTATCAAGGGAACATACTCATTTACGTGGTATGTTTGCTCCCTTTCCCTTGGAGCTTCAGCCATAACTACTGCTCTTTTCCTACCTTAATACCTCTTTTTTTCTTTTTTCTGATTCTATTTGGATCTCTGGTATATTTCACACCTCACGGTGGCAAGATATATCAAATATTATACTTGAAATAGTAGCTTCACAAAGCCTTGATTTTTCTATAGCAAATGCTAATGTTAAACAATTATCTAAATAATTTCATAGAAATAATCACCTAAATTTCCTGAGTAATTCTAGTAAAGGTGATTTTTTTTTCTCTTAAACCCTGAGTTCTTTCTCTTACCCCTTTATTTAAGTTGGTTTAAAATAAAGGAATGATCCCCTTGTTACTGCTTCTCATTCCTCCTTTTCTACTTGTTCCTTGATTTTTGATAAGTATATGTACTCCCTATCACATTCAGTATCAAAGCAAGACTCTAACCAAACATGTTCTGAACTAGTTCTTCTTGTTTTTCAGGTGTAAAATTGTATACTTCCTTCTGGTTCTGTAGCCTTTCACCCATTCAGTTTCTCTTTCCATCTCTTCTCCCTATTTCCCCTTTTACATCTGTTATTATTAGTAAATATGGGGAAATAAGAGTATCAAGACATGGATATAGCTCTTGACCCTAGCTTTTGACCTTTAAGACTAAGAAACCTTTAAAATCCTTCCTGTTCCTTCTGTAAACCCTAAGTTGATTATTTTCTTCCTGGAAGTACCAGTCCTATACTATAAATGATTTCATAAAGGAGGGACTAAGAACAAGTTATCAGTGCTTGAGTTTCTGCCCCCTAACTTCTATTTTTCTTTAAAATATATACCCACTGGCCGGGCACAATGGCTCACGCCTGTAATCCTAGCACTCTGGGAGGCCAAGGCGGGCGGATTGTTTGAGCTCAGGAGTTCGAAACCAGCCTGAGCAAGAGCGAGACCCCGTCTCTACTAAAAATAGAAAGAAATTAATCGGACAACTAAAAATATATAGAAAAAATTAGCCGGGCATGGTGGCACGTGCCTGTAGTCCTAGCTACTCGGGAGGCTGAGGCAGTAGGATCACTTGAGCCCAGGAATTTGAGGGTGCTGTGAGCTAGGCTGACGCCACGGCACTCACTCTAGCCAGGACAACAGAGTGAGACTCTGTCTCAAAAAAATAAATAAATAAATAAATAAAATAAAATATATACCCCATTTGAGTATATGAATATGGGAAATATGGCACCACATATGAGGCTAACAAGAAAAATCCCCACCATCTGTTGTCATTTTGCCTAGTCTTACCAGAGCCAAGAGGACCTGCTTTCCAATGTGATATACTTGTTTTTCTGTGAGATCATAGAGAAGACCATCCATGGTCATCACATCCTAAAGAGACAGAGAAAAAAAGCATTATAGCAATAAGGCATTAACAGATTTGGGGAAAAAAATGAGTTGGGCAGAGATACTCTGAAATGCAGATATCAAAGCTAAGAAAAATTAAAAAACATAGGGAGTAAGATTCAAAAAGAGACTGGCTGGTATGGAAGATTTTCAGATATGCAGAGAAATGCAATGATTCATTGGACTGGAAAAACAATTAAGAATGTAGGTAAATAGAAGGCAAGAAAGACAGGAATATATAAAACTGTCCACTAAATAAAGCAGCAGTTTTTCTGGAGCTATATATGTTGTGTGTATGTATGTGTGTGTGTGTAGCTAGCACATTAATGCATCTTTCTTGAATGTCTGCAATGTGCCCAATTCCATGTTAGGAACTTGGAATACAAAAGTGAACAAAATAACATGGCTGATGCCTTCTGGAGTTTATTGTATGGTAGACATATGTGCTTCAGAATCAAATAATCATACATAAATAAATGGTTACATATCTATAAGAGCCATGAAGGCATGTACAAAATGCTAGGAGAGGATATGATGGTGGGAAGAAGAGAACTGATTCGGTTGGAGGGACAAGGAAAGCTTTTGATGAAAATCAAAAAGCTTCTCTCTTCTTTGCATAGTAAATGTTCACTGAAGGATGAGTGGCCTATGCAAAGAAGAGAAGGGAGAAGTTTGGTGTAACTAGAAAAATACATGAAGATAATCTAAAATAGAGAAGCATGGTATTTTTGAAAAATGGAAGGTAGTGTGGTTAGAGCACAAAACAAGTTATAGATGGATAACCTCTGTAAAAGGTTTAAAATGCCTAAAGACTTGCACATGGTCCTACTTACAGCACTGGATGGAAGACATTAACAGGGTCCCTTTTTCATACCCATGTGTATGTATGTACTATAATCAGCATATTGAGAAGGCTCAATTAATATTGAACTTGCTCATTAGCAAGTGAGAAACTAGGGAAATAGGTCGCACTTCAGAAAGAGGAAAAATGTAAGGAAAAGGACTTCCATTTAAGTCTAGAAATTTCTGAACATTTTAATTTTTTAAAATATGAGTTTGAGGTACAAAAACTTAACAGGCTGAATTTCTTCCTGAGACAGCCCTGGCATACTATTGTGATGTTACAGAATGGAGAACACAGTAACAACAAAATTACAGTCATTACTAACAGTAGTTCAATTGTTACGTAATTATCCTTGTAACAGCCACCATTTTCAGTGCTTACTATGTATCAGCCACTCCTATGTTTTTACATGCATAATTTCTTTTATTTTTTGGTAATAATTTAATATTACTCCCATTTCACAGATTCAGAAAACTCAGGATCAGAAAGGTGACTTGCCCAAAGTCACAAAGCTAGTAAGAGGTGGAGCCTAAAGTCCATGCTTAAACTTGTGCTTCCCAATATATATGGTAGCTGTTAGCCACATGTGGCTACTTAAACTTTCATTATCTAAAATTAAATAAAATTTAAAAATTTAGTTTCTCAGTCACACCAGCCACATTTCAAGTGTTCAAAAGCTACCCGTGATTAGTGGCTGTCATATTGCGCAGAGCTGATATAGAACATTTCTATCATTACAAAAAGTTATATTGGACAGTGATAATTACTGTTTTGTTATTATATCATCTTTTTTGTCATTTGTCATGCCAATTTACACGTGAACAGCTAATCAAACAGGCCAAGCCTTTCCTTCCTAATACCTCTACCCTACTGCTCACCCGGCGACAGGTCCAGAGAAAGCTGAGCAGGTCCCCCTGGGCCACATCTTCCAACACCATGTAGAGTGGCAGCCTTTCTGTGCAGCAGCCTTCCAGCTGCACCAGGTTCTTGTGTTTCCCCAGGTACTGATAAAATTGGATTCGCCCTAAGAAATCCTGCACCTCATGGAGCTCAGCTGGTTCTGTGGAGGACAGAAGAGCCAGGCAGTTAGCAGAACATCACCAATGAGCAGGAGACATGGAGCAGGAAGAAACTGCAGATGGTAATTCTCAAAGCCCCACGGGGGAGTGAGGGTCAACAAAAAGTAAATAGAAAGGGGACCAATTAGAAGAAGAAGATGCTCACTGTCACTGATCTTTTATCAAAGGTCACATAGAATCATAGGTCTTACAACTGGATGGCCTTTCATCTGCCTAAATAGACAAATATTCTGTTCACATTAAAACATTATCACTGTCTAGCCCCTTTGATTAATATTTTTGCTTATCCTGTTCTATTTTGTATATCCACCATTACTGGCCTATATCATAAGTATCAGCAAAAAGAGAAACAGTATCAGGAAAAGGTATCAAATAGTGAAGAAAAAAAGCTGGTCACAGTGGCTCACCCCTGGAATTCTAGTACTCTGGGAGGCCAAGGTGAGAGGATCGCTTGAGGTCAGGAGTTTGAGACCAGCCTGAG